GGTGAAAATTCTGGTTTTGATTCTTGCTCTCCCTCGGATTCTGTCTTCACCTCACGGACCAATTAACCCAGCAGCGCACAACAGCGACGACGTCACTCAGCTTCGGACTGTCAACAGCGCTTCTGTATGGAACACTCTTACGAACACCAGGTCAGTGGTTTTATTTTTCTCATTCGAGTTAAACCCTGACCTTGATAACAGTTGTTCTCTGTGTCCAGAGCTACCAGTCCCTCCTGACGTCCAGATCCAGAACCTCACCACTTCCTTGTACTTTCAAAATAAAACCTGTAAAACTGTTTTTGAGTTTGGTATTTTATCAGAGTTCAAAAACCCAGTCATATCAATCGTGAGTGATCTTGCATGGTCTGTTAGTGCTTGTAATATACAGTATGTTGTGAATACTTCTCAGATATTACTATATTAAGATTTTATCTCAGGGTCTATTAAAATTCACTGCAGTATATCCATTCTTGTTTTGGCTAAGGTCAGGTACCTGTGGTGGAACATCTTGATTTGGACTGGCTCAAAAAATGATTACTCATGGAGGAACAGCCACTAATTACTTTCAGAAAGTTTTATTAAAATCTGTCAAGTGGTTCATGAGATATTTTGCTAACAGACAAACAAGAAAGACAGCAACAGTTAATGGTAAAATTTTAGGCAAAGATGAGTGTTGCATTTAAAGTATGTGTTGAGGATAATGCTCAGTTACTACCGCGTTCTAATGTCATTTAGCTGCGTCAGCCATCCGAAGCCAAACTAAGTTCAAAGGTTGATCATTTGTAGATGTAAATGTAGTTATTACTTCCTGAAAATGTCATTGAACTCCATTGCTAACAAACAGATACAGCCGATTCCATCAGATAATGGCAAAGTTTTTAGAATCTTGCACGATCAGTCGACGTTCAAACTGCATATCAGGGATGACTCCCTTCTCCTTCTACACCAAATTTCAGCTCAATATTTTTTAAACTGACAGAGTTACAGCCATGTTTGTGCTAAAACTGGATCAACTCCGAAAGTTAAAACATTATAGATGTCAACCAAAAGAGTGCTTTCTGAGATTTTCGTGAAAAATGGTTCAGATAATCATAAAGGTTTTTTGTGAACTAAACACATAGGAAACACGCACAGGTGTCAAAAGTATTCACATTCATTACTTTAATAGAAGTATAGATACTAGAGTTTTAAAATACTTTTTTGGAAGTAGAAGTATCAACTCAAGCTTTTTACTCAAGTAAAAATACAAAAGTACAGGTTGTAAAACTACTTAAAGTATAAAAGTAAAAGTAATGAACACTTAACAAAAAGCCAATAAGGATAAAAGCTTAGGCTGTGCCACTGGGTTCTATAGCATGCTCCTGAATATAATGTTAAATAAAAATGTTCATGTTGAAAAATTTGGAATTGACTGACTAGAATACTTGTTTCAGCCACGATCATCTTCATTCTAGGCTACATGCATCTGCTACAGTATGTCCTGTGGGAATGTGGTGATTTATGTCATACAGGTGTGATGGAGTGAGTTCAATCCAATAGGGTGTCAGAATGGGTTATATTTACACTTCTCATCCAACCACAATGAAATTCACTCTATCCATGGGCTCCATCTATCTATCTATCTATCTATCTATCTATCTATCTATCTATCTATCTATCTATCTATTTTTCTGAACAATAAAAAGACAGAACAAAAACAAGTCAAAGTTAAATAGAAATGAAATACTTTTTGCATTTTTAAAAAGTAAGGAGTAGAAAGTACAGATACTTGAATTAAAATGTAAGGAGTAGAAGTAAAATGTAGGCTGAAAAATAATTACTCCACTAAAGTTTAAATAGCCAAGATTTCTACTTAAGTAAAGTAACAAAGTATTTATACTTATTTACTTGACACCTCTGGAAACACGTTATCGCTCCACCTTCAATAAACACACAGGAGTTGGCTTTCAGCGTAATGAAACCAGAAAACGCTCGCGTAAACACAAGCTTTAGTTCATAAAGACTGGTTCTCTTTTCTAAGATCTTCTCAATGCAGTCTATACATCAGCACCACTTTCCTCCCATCGGGGCCGTAACTGTGCTGACAGAGTTAAAAACAAGAAGTTAAAAAGACACGAGCAGCTAAAAAAAGGAGCACGGCTAATCGAGACGTAAACCCAGCTACTTTACAACTAAATTAAATTCTGTACAGCAGCAATAAACTGGCTGCTCTTACCTAAAAAAGCTGATGGCGATACTGTTCCGTTGCTACGGGAGACCATGACGCTAATCCCCGTCTCCACGAAGGGGACGGAAAAATCCACGACCTCTGACCTCTCCTCGTTAATAGTCAGGGAGCCAATGGCCATGTCTGCCCGCTTGTACACCACCTGAAGGGGACAAAAACATCAATAAAAGAAAGACATGTAATTATGCCTGTGATGCCTTGAAGTGTTTCAGATAGACAAAGTCATTTTTTGACGGTCCACAAAGATTTATTTCCAGGTGAGATCCTGACATTTCTACGCCTTGACCCTTTGTACATCCTTGAACGTGAGAGCACGAGGGGAACCAGCGATTCGGTGCAGTCCAATTACTGAACACGTGTCTCTTTGTGAATCTCTTTAGCATTCGAAATGAGCCAGGGCCCCATCTCCTCCCTGCCACCATCAAGCAAAACCTGAAAACCGCTGTGTCTGCTGATTGTACAAGTGAAATGTTAATCTACATTAGACATGGCACATCCGCTCTTCTGAGCAAATCAGCAGAAAACTGAAGCGAAGCGGAACGCAAAGCCCCCAAACCCCATCCCCTCCTCTTCTCCACGTTGCCAAGTCTGTGGATTACCTGATCAAAGAATGGCAGGCTTTGGAGCAGCTGATCAAAAAGACAGAAATTAGTTGGAGAAAACAAAACTATGTGCAGCCTTTTTTTTGCTTGTGAAAATAGATTTGACAGCCAGCTCTGACCCGTGGTCAAATTACAGATGATAGGAGCGTTAGAGCGCAGGGGAACCGTTTTAGAACCCGTGACTGATGGCGTTTGGCAAGTTCCCTCTGGGAGAAAGTTAGAAACAGCAGGGAGCTTCAACGAAGCAGCAGCCACCATATTGATCTCAGTGTATGTGTGAGTACCGTATGTGTGCATGCCTGTTTGACTGTCTTTTTTATTTATTTTTTTCCTGCCAGCTTCTCCTGTGTCTTTTCTTGATGGGAGTTCATGACCCATACGACCAAGAAAATATCGAAGACTAACTCCAACTAGCCAGGGGGTGTTTAACTGTGTGTGTGTGTGTGTGTGTGTGTGTGTGTGTGTGTGTGTGTGTGCGTGCGTGCGTGCGTGCATGCGTGCGTGTGTGTGTTTGTGTGTGTGTGTGTGTGGTTACGGCTTTGGTGAATTTGGGGACAAAAGTCAAGTCCCCATTTGGTTTAAATGCCATTGGTGGGTTGGGGGTTGGGTTTAGGACCAAGGTGTGAATTGAGTTTAGGTTAGTTTTAGGGTCAGGAAGGTACCTGTGAGGTTAGCCTTATGGTTGGAGGTCAGGGTTAGGATATAAAATTACCAAAAAATGAATGGAAGTCAATGGATGGGCCCCACAAGGATATAAAAACATTTTACAAGCTTGTGTCAAGGCATCTGCATGTTTTTTTTACACGTCTGTATATGTGTGACAAATGACAGCTTTCTAATTGCTAGCAGTTGATAAATGGCCGAAACCTTCGCAGTCACAGTATGACTCATGGAGATTGCCGAGGAATCTTCTGCACCTTGACGACTGAAACTGCAAACATATGTAGAGGCACAACCATGTGCACTCTTTGCACACAGGCGAGCACTACTGGCTGAGAACACATTTCTCACATAGGCAGACAGGCAAAACCGCAAGCAGCCACACACACACATAAACAAGGACTCGCCTCTCCGATCATGCCGTTCCAAACCCCGTCGATTTTCTTCCCGTGTTTCCCGTTGGTCACCAAGTACAGGTCGTAGGTGAAGCCGACGATCTTGGCGAGACGCTTGAGGATGTCGATGCAGAAGCCTTTGCAGCATTGCTTCTGAGGAGCCACACCCTCGTGAATGGCACTGTAGAGGGGTTAGAGAAGAATAATTAATGAAGGAAAATACTGGTGAAAATATCTGGGAAAGGAAAGGAAAGGAAAGGAAAGGACAGGAAAGGAAAGGAAAGGAAAGGAAAGGAAAGGAAAGGAAAGGAAAGGAAAGGAAAGGAAAGGAAAGGAAAGGAACACACAAAAGAAAGAAAAACTATGACAAGGTCCTTGATGGCAGGTTTGATAAACCAATGTCGGACAGGTGTTGTCATTCCTTCAGAGGCTGATGAACCATAAAGCTCCTCTGTGGTCATATCTGATTCCAGGCTTGAGTCAGTCCGCTGGACAGCAGTCTGTTATTGATTATGGCCAGGGAATGGAAAAAACTAGTGTTGATAGATGACTGATGTAACCTGAGTTGGACGGCATCACAAGAGCATAGAAACTCCATTCAGAAGTCTGATAAATAATGTAAAAACACGGCCATTCCTCTTTCAATTAATCTTTTTTTTTTGTTTGTTTGTTTCTACTGGAGTGGTAGTAAAGGAATAATTCAGATCCTCTGATGCGGGTTATCTGGAAATGCTATGAACAATTATCATCTTATAGTTGAAGGTAGCTCTTTGAATGATCTCTGACAGCAGAAAGCCAGTTTAATTCTGGCCAGATTAACAAGTTAACAAGTTTGAGCAGACCAAAGTAGATCGCTGATGTCTTAAAACAACTCCAATCCTAAAAAATTCATAGTGTTTCATGCAAACGCTGTTTTATAAACCTTTACATCACTGTCACTTTGACTTACTTGGTTATTTATATGGAAATCTATGAATATTAGAAAGTGCACACAGCAGCTAGCTTTTAATAGCAGCTGGATGTAGCACTTCCAGTGCAGCCTGGGGCACTTCCATCATGAATATAATAATATTTCTGCCAGAAAAACATGTAATGTGAAAATGACAGCAGTGTAAAGGTTTATAAATTGGTGACCACAGGAACTGCTGTAATATTTTTGAGACTGATGTTTTAAGCTGGCAGGAATCCACCTGACTCAGTCTGTTCAGAAATAATCTGTTTCTCTAAACTGAGTTGTCTACAGCAGGTAAGATATTAATTGTTCATAATCTTTTTGCAGCACCCCCACCTAAACAGAAAATCTGAACTATATCTTTAATGTATGTTAAAAAGTTTATACTAAAAAAAGGAAAAGGATGACATCACATTCAGGATAAAATGAAACAGTCAGACCTAGCATTAAGGGGTCGTCTGCAGGGAACTGAATCACGGATGCAGGTCCCAGAAGTGGAGTCTGCAAGCTCCACAATGACAAATGGTCTTTCCTCCAGTGTGACCACACGCAGATGCTGGGCATCATCAGGCGGTTTAAGAAAAGGCCCGTAGCGGGACCAGGCTGGATACCGAAGCTTCAGCACACCATTCTCCCACCAGCCTACCTAGGGGAACAGAAGAGAGAAACGTCAGAGGAAGGTGAAGTACAAAAACAGGTTTTTAGACTTCACTTTGCTAATAATAATTAATCAACACATCATTTTTACTGTGATGAGCAAAAAGCATCAAAAGCAATCATACCACACTGACTCTGTTGACTTTCTTTGAGGAGCTCCAAGGCAAAGGTGCCCCAAAATTTCCAATTTAGACTTGAAGTTATTAAAACAAAGGTTTTCAAAAAGAATGACAGAATTAGTTCATGCAACCATATTTGGATTCAGTACGGTTTCCAAATTTAGAGAGTATTTTTCACTCATTCTCTCCCCCTGCAAGATTTTTGTATGATAAAGTGTTTTTTGCAAGTATATATGAAAATTATATCTGTGCACTCGGTTTTATAAAACTGAAACTGATGCTTATCCCACGTGCTTACGTATACATTTTATTCCCATTATTACAGCACTGGATTTATCCCATTACAGCAAGTTTCTGCACATGACTGTACCTTTGATTATACCCATTTGATGCACCGATCATCTAGCTAAACCTAGAAAAACATTTTTTGTTTGTTACAAGGTGAGACCAGAATTAATAATCATTTGTGTTTACTTTTTTTTCTGTTTATGCACTGAAATGCCCTGCAATATTACAAATTGCTACTCTTCACTAATTTACAAGGACTTGTTCAATAGATTCATTGAGCATCTGATGAAGTGCTGGACCAGAATCTGTACTTCACTGAAGTAATTAATTTTCAGACAACCTTTTACTTCTACTTCTTATATTTTAAAAATTCAAAAAGTATTTCATTCCAGTGTGTCGTCGTTCAAAAAAACTTTGTGTCATGTGCAGATGTAAGCATCACAGTTGACTCAGCAAGACTAAAACCATGTCACACTCCAGCAGACGTTATTTAGCCTCGTATGAAGATGATTGTTGCTGAGATATGTGTGCAGCTGAAACAGGTAGCCTCAAAAACACATTTAATTATATTTTATAGTCATTACGGCCTTTAGAAAAATGTTTATTTTTTTAGTGGAGGTGGGATTGTGCACTAGGCCCCAGTGGCATGGACTAAGCTTAATGGCTTTTTTTCTTTACATTACTTTTACTTTTATACTTTAAGTAGTTTTTAAAACCAGTACTTTTATACTTTTACTTGAGTAAAAAATTTGAGTTGATACTTTTACTTCCAAAGACGTATTTTAAACCCTAGTATCTATACTTCTACTTGAGTAATGAAGTGAATACTTTTGACATCTCTGTTTCTTTCACAGGATCAAAACAAAAACACAACTTCTTTTGTTTTGTCTTTGAGCAATTGAGTTTTATTTTGAAAATTGCGTTTAAAATATTTTTTATTTTGTAATTTTACCAGGTCTACTGTTAAATATAAACTTGTTGGGCTGAGTTTGAACTACTTATATTTTTTAGGCAAATCAAAAAACATACATGTCAAGTGAAATTATCTAAATGGGTGTTTAAGTTTCACTGAAGTTGCAGCAGAAACTGCACCTTTTCCTCTTGCTGGTCATCTTATTATTTTTTCATGTATTTGGAAAGTCTGGCAAAACAAAGGGAAACTTGAAGTTGTGATTATGTGGCTTTGTAAGAGTAACCCTGAGAGGAGTGGGGAACATCGATTATCTTTTGCTAACACCAGGTTGCTTTAACCATTAGCTAGTAGTGGATATCCTAATGATCAAAAAGCCTGGATTCTCTCTGCGCCAAAAAAATCTATTTGCTCAAATCATTTAGTGATTGTGTGTATCTGTGCACAATTACTCACAACTGAGTGAAACTTAACTGAGCTGAGAGATGAATTGATTATTTTAGAAAATACAGTTCTGGGAGCAGACCCGCAGCTTGTTCTGCAATTTGTTATTAGCAAGTCAGAACAAATAAAAAAGCAAATTTTCCATTAGCTTTAATTGTGAAAATGAGACTAAAACAAAGGCAGATTATGTGGCTTTGTAAAGTAATCCTGCAAGGAGTAAAAGAATTGATCATCACACGCAAACATCTTGTTGAAACAAACGTTAGCTGGGAGTAGATATCCTTGTGAACTGAAGATTCCACTCTCTTCTTGCTTAAAAACTAAATAAATGTGCTAATTTATTGACTGTGTGTATACATGCATGATCAGTCCTCACTGAGTGAAACCTAACTGAGCTGAGAGTTGAATTGATTCTTTTAAGAAGTAGAGTCCTGGCTGTTCACCTGCAATTTGTTGCTCTGCTGCTAATAACAAAACACAGGTTTGTATTTCATCCACTTAAACTCTGAACTAAAACTACCAGTTGATACTGTATCATTATTTTTTAATTGCATTTTGTAGTATTCTGATTCTAACCATGTCTAATAAATATGTGGCAATTTGTCAAAGTGATTAAAAAGGATTAGTATGTAATATTAAGTATTACCATACCCATCAGGACTCATAACTACATTAACTACATCAGGCAGCACACATTATTTATTCGGTTGATGTCTGAGCACACACAGAAACTGCTCACATTTGTTCGGACCAGTTCTGGCACAAACAAGGTACTGAACTCTAACACTCAGCAAAGAATGCTGACCCTTTAGTGGTCCAGATGTGGTTTGCCAGGAGTCCACACATAGGCCAGCACCACATAAACCAAACCAAACTGGGCCAGTTGTAGCATGCCATATGTCATCAATGCCAGACCTGGCCCACTTCCTGTTGATAAACCACTTGCCATGTCAGCAGTCAGCCAGCAGTGCCAGCTTGATAACACATCTGGCCCACACCTGTCTGCTATGTGGGTGGTGAGTAATAGATTTAGAGCCAAACAATCCTAAACAGTAAAATGGAAGGCTTTGTCCACATCACATGAAAAACAAATTTTTGCCAAATAAATCACTTTATCTGTCATTTTAAAAAAATCACTGATTTTTGATGATTTGGCATCCTTCATTGAAGGCAAGCTATGACCTCTCATGGTTAAAGGTTTTCTATTGCTAGTGAGCAATGTGGGCACAACTCTTACATTGGTATGGCACTTGGCATTCCCAGACGGTCTGCCATTCAAGTACTAACCAGGCCCAACCCAGCTTAGCTTCCAAGATCAAACAAGATCTGCAGTGTTCAGGGTGGCATGGCTGCCAAACCCACTAAAAAAGCACAGAAAAAGCCCTAAAGTGCTGTAGTAACCATGCCAGGCCTTGTGTGGCACTGTAACAAATAAATACACCAAAAACAGGAAGCAAGTCTTGGAACATGTGCATGAAGCTTACATGCTGAGTAAAAAAAACGGTAAATGTAACAAGAGACAAGAGGACACCCTCCAGATGTAGCTTTGATTAGAGGTGGGGTTACAACAGTTGAAACAGTGGTGTTTCGAAACCCATTTTTAAAACAATACAGTTTAACATCTAAAATATTGCTTCTGTGTGAAAGCAAGGCTTCATTGATAAAAACAAGTTTTTGCCAAAAATGTTTCTGTGTGGACATCCCCTGAAATTGTTAGTATAAAGTCTCAAATTAATAAATGCTATTAAACGATTTGTAACACTGACTTTCAACAATATCAAAGATGTTGGTAAATTTTGTATTTTTCTGATAATGTATTTAACAAAGTAAGAGAACTGTTCAATGATAAAGCACTGTTTATGTTGTATAACACTATAATTGTTCCATATTTAATTTACTGTATTGAGGTATGGGGGCTTGTAAAACTATCACAAATCCTATTTTCATTTTACAGAAAAGAGCTATAAGTTATTACTAGAAAAAAATTACAGCCATCCATCTAATATATTGTTTCATGATTTGAAATTATTAAAATTCTATGATTTGGTTGATTATAATATTTTACTGTTAATATACAGAGCTCATAAAGGTGTCTTACCTTCCAACATTCAGGCCAATTTTGTTAAAAGAGAGAGCTGTTATTATCTTAAAGGATTTGAAATGTTTATGAAACCCTGGGATCGTACGAGCCTGAAGGAGCAAACAACTTTAATCCAGGGAATAAGATTGTGGAACAGCATAAAAATTGAGGTTAAAAATGCCAGATCCTTGAAGAGAATGTTAAAAAATAATATTCTGAAGAAATATGGAGAATTATAAGTGAATTCATGCTAATTGTTGTTTGAGTTGGTGTCCTAATTTTTGTTTTTAATTCATTTTTAAGTGTTTTAAGTTTTTATTGTATTTTTACTTTTGTTT